ATTCTGTGATTCTGTGATTCTTACCTTCACTGAAAAGGCAGACTATAGGCACAAAATGGAAGACTTCTCAAGGTAAAAGTAGAAACACGTCATGTGGAGGTATCTATATCCTATATAAAATGATTTAATACTCTGTGGTAGAGTGTCTCCAGAACTCTACGCATGGATTAGCCAAACTGGTTTTGGTGCAGCTTTTCCAAGGAATGAGGCTAAAATTCCTTTCCTATAAGAGAGACCAAAAGAGAGAGTTGAGTAGAGGAAGCTATAAAAATAAGACCTACTTAGTGCATACAGCAATATTTGAGTGAAATGTTACACTTGCTGAGTTTGTATAATCAATGTTAAACACCTCTGAAGAGGTAATACTGCTGTGGGAACAGAGAAGGGCATCGGCTATTTATGTAACATCAGACCTAATATGTAGGATGTATTTCTATTTCTTCTTAATTTGGAGTTCCAGGTATTCATCTTTCTCATGTGGACAGTGCACCCTGATGCATCTCCCCTGCTGAAAAAGCAAAAATTGCAGATTGTATATGGCTATACATTATATAGCAGTAATCTGTTAGGAGCCTGTTCTCAGAGAAAACAAAAATATAGCTAAGGATGCTAATACTCTTTCTTCCTTTTTCTGTTCTGATTGCAGGTAAGCCTACTGGTGGGAGTTTTTATGAGGGTAATACATTATGATAAACTGTTAGTGACAGATGGATTTTTTTTTTTTTAACTTAGTTTACTTCTAAAGCAAAATGATCTGGATTAGCCACTTCCTGCCCCCTGAAGTGGCTGCAGAACTTCTCAGGTTACCTAAATTAAAGACTTAATTTGGCTCAGTACATTGCTCTATCAGGTTGAGAGCCAAGAAAGTGTTTTATAAATACATGACTTCTTCATGCTGAATGGTGTTGTTCAACCAGAGGGAAGAGGAAACTCAGGGGGGAGTCTTTAATTGCTGCCTTCAGTTACCTAATGGATCATGACGAGAAACCAGATCATTCTTAGTGTTGCACAGCGAAAGGGTGAGAAGCACTGGACACAAGTTACAGCAAAAGAAATTCCAGTTAGGTGTAAGGCAAAAAATAAAAAAATAAAAAAAAATTAGGCCTAGTAGTGTGGCTACTCAGACATGTGATTAGATGGTTCAGAGAAGCTATTAGATATCTTTGCTTGGGGATGCTCAGATCTCGAGTGGAAAAGACTTTGTGCTTTGAGCAGGGAGTTTGCTATAGGTGATTTCCAGAGGGCCTTCCAGAGGTCACTTCTACTGTAAGATGTTTTTGGTTTCCATTTGGTGACTAGTTCAAGATTTTTCTTCACCAAGAAGGCTTATCGTTGTTCTAAGCTGTCTTTCTGATCTTCTATGGTAATCGCTTTTCATGTCTCATTTCTTAATCTTATGCTCACCAGAAATGGTGTCTGTGGAGACAGTGCTTTTGTAAAGCATGTATTAACTGAAAGGCTCTGACTGCATGTCTGTTTTACTGTATCCCAAGTGAAGACTTCCAAAAGTGAAACCAACTTCTCTTGCAGTGCTGTTTTTGGTGTTGTTTTTTCAGCTTCAGTTAGTTTTATGTATTTACAGTTCACAGCTCTAATATTGAGCAGGATGTTTTGGAGCAGAGCGAGCTAAGAAGTAGAAGGCAGATTGAATTCTCTTAAAGAGAAAAATTTTGGGGGTGTGAACTTTGGTGCAGATGTGCAACTTAATGGTGTATTCAATTTCTGCCTACTGTTCCTTTGTTTTAAACTGCTTATTTAAAAGTATAAAAACAGCCTTCTCCTGTGTTCGACCCCCAGCTTTCTGTGTGCTCAGTATACTCCAATTAATACAGAGATTATTTGGATTGCAGGTGAATACATGCCTGCTTTTTCATAGGCTGTGGAGAAGGACAGTGAGCAGTCTCTGTAGTTGCTACTCCTGTATATTTTTGGGAATTATTGCAAGAAATGAATAGGGGCCACTTCTGTCTTGCATGCTGTGTCTGTTCTTGAGCTTGTTAAATTGCAGTAATTCTCTCTGATACAGTTCTGGATTTATAGTCTTTTTTCTTTTTTACATCTTAAACCTCCATTCTTTAAAATGAGTGAATCATGGGCTGTGTGTAGGACAGCTTTTTTCTTCCTTGTGCTTGGTCACAGGAGACTAAATTTATAGTTTTATTCTAACTTAGCTCCCCATGATATGCAGAGCATCTGGATGGGTGCTGCTCTTAATCAGGATCTGAACTTTATTTTGGCTCATGCCATCATTGTTTTGTTGTTTATCCTCCTTCTTTGGTAAGATGAGAACAGTATTTTATGACAAAAGCATTCAGTTGTTTGGTTTTTTGTAATTGCTATGTATGACATTTGCATCCTCACTGAAATTTGGTCTTAGATACATTAATAGTGTACTATTTTTACCCGTTCCCATGCATTCTTAAAGTATGAGATGCTGTTTTTCTGACAGCTCCATTTAAAAAATCTTTTTACTTCTTACACAGTGAGACTATCAGTTTTAGTATTTGTACTTATGTATATATTTAGTGTATCCTTCTAGTATTTGATGAGAGCTTATAAGCAGGAAGGAGAGTGAATTTTTTACACGTGATAGTGATAGCTCAAGAGGGAATGGCTCTAAACTAAAGGAGGGGAGATTTAGGTTAGATGTTAGGAAAAAAATTCCTTTCTCAGAGTATGGTGGGGCACAGGAACAGGCTGCCCACAGAAGTTGTGGCTACCCCATTCTGGAGGTGTTCAAAGCTGAGTTGGATGGGGCCCTGGCAGCCTGATCTGGTGGGTGGCAACCCTGCCCGTGGCATGGAGTTGGAGCTCGGTTATCTTTAAGGTTCCTTCCATTGTAAGCCATTCTGTGATAATAAGAAGCAGAGTGTGTAGTTTCTTGAAAATATATAGGAAATGCAGTTCTAAAACTACGTATGTGTGCTTCCTACTTCATCATAATTCATTGTGCCCTGTATACTTTTAATGCTAAAGTGAACTCTGTCGCTGTTAAAAGATCAGATTCTTCCCCCACACTAGGACAGATTGCATTCTTTCTGAATCTGTGTGACATTAATGCCATTGAAATTGAGTTGGACTATGTGAGAGCTGAAAGCTGTGGCACTTTAAATGCAGCACTGATTCAGACACTGTGTTTTATTCGGGGCAAATAACTTAATGTCTAATATCTAGTTATGGTCTGGTTAATAAACATGACATAAAATAATTGGAGCAGTGGTGAGGATCTGCTTTAACTCTTTTTCAGTTAGTTATTTGTGTGTGAGAACTGAGACTTTGAATTCACTGAGTAACTGTAATCATGCTGATCATGGCATGAGGCTGTCTTAAGATGTGGGAAGAAAAGAAGGAAGACGCTCTCTTTAGCTTCCTTGTTCCCCTGCATCTTCCTTTCCCTTCTTGCTTTCCTTCTTCCCATCTTGTTTAAATTTCTGATCACAGTGCAGTCCAAGCTCAGTATGACTGATAAAATAATCTGTGGCACTTAGGGAAAAACTGCAGTACTTCTCTGTGATCTGTGTGGCTTGGATTTGTACTCTTTCAGAGTTTCCAAACTTCAGGTATCGCAGTAGTGTCCTTTTGTCAGTGTTAAAGCTCTTGGTGATTCCCTTGTATTGACATCTTAAGGCTTGTTGAGAAATTATAGATTGGTAAATATTGTGTGTCAGGAGCAGTTTATGTAGTTCAAAGATTCACATGGTTCTTCATGTTTTCTGTATGTGGAATTTGAAGGGGAATTCACGCTACAAGTAATGCTACATTCATTGTTGTTCTTTAACAAATACAGTTAACAGCATTAATGGAGGCCAGCAATGAATGTTCTTCTGTTTATAGTGACATTAGAATAAATCCTACTTCGGGCTTTTAAACTATAGCAGAATTGAAGGACAGAGCCTTTAACAACAGCTGGAGTTGCTGTCTTTTCATATTAGTTTGTGAAAAGTAAAAGTGTTCCAGAGCACAGCAGAAGATGCTTTATCTTCAGTTTTCATAAAAGAACTTTTATGGAAGCTCTATCCTTCACAAATGTAGTTGCACAGAACTGTGCTGCAGATACATTTTCTTAATACTGTACTTGGATGGAGCTGAAAATATAACTACTTTATACAAATACGATCACATTGTTAGATGATGTTTTGCACAACAAGACTTCACTATCATTTACATTGGTTATTTTGTGGTGTTTTGAGTGTTAAAGTGAAGCTGAAGGGAGTGTCCTCTCTTCAGGCAGGTGACATTGTGGTAACCTTCATTACTTCCTTAAGAAGGAAGTGTTAAAGGAGAGCAGCGTAAGAAATGGTTCACTGCAGCATAATGCTTAGCAGCCTAATTAGTTGAATACCATGTGCCTACCTCTGCATGAAATAACCCATTTCTTCGCGAGGTAAAATAGGAAATTTCAGTTTTGGAACAGCCTGAAGAGGCCTTTGTTGCAAATGTCCATTGGCTTTTTAACTATTTATTCTCAAATAATGAAGGTCAGCATGGTATCCATAGAGACTGCATGCAGCTTCCTCATTAATCTTGGCAAACTCCTGCAATAACTGCTTTCACTTACTACTAAAAAGTGTTCATGTTTCAGAAGGAAACGTTTATTGGAAAACAGTATGGGATTGACATTCTGTAACTGAGAGATCGTGTATGTGTAGTTTTTCTTTAAACTCTGTTAGAATTTCCCTTTACGAGTTGCCTTGGAGGCCTGAACAGCCTCAGAACAAGCAACTTTAAATTGCAGGAGTCTGCATATTTCCTGGAAGCAGAAAACTACTTACTGGCGAAGCTTTTTCTTTCTGAAAGGATAAACAATGATAAACAAGAATAAATCTGTCTTCTTTCTGTTCTGTTAGTAAAAGGAATGTTTTCTGCTGCAAACTAGAAGATAAAGGCATTTAAGTGTTACGTGAATATGATCAAGGCAGAATGATAGGATTTAAAAAAAATAACCTCATAGATTCTCCACCTCTTTCTTTTTTTTTTTTCTTCTTTTTTCTTTAACAAAGAATGGGAGAATTTTTGCATCATCAGAACACCACTGAAGTCCTTTGGATTGACTGTCAGGTTACTTCTGTGCAGAAGATTCCCATCAGAGCATTGATATGAAGCAACTAAATAAGTGCTGTATGCTTAATAATGACTTTGATCTAAATTAAATTCTTTACTCTTCAATAGTATGTTGTCATTTAAATATTTTTAATATTGGAAGCATTCTTTTAAGTGAGGAAAAAAGAAGTTGACTGCATCAGAACAGAATGCAGTCTTGTGGGATTTCTGGTACGGAGTCACTGAAGAGGGGAAATAAAATAGTAACGGCCCCTGGATGGAACTGTTTTATTCCCACCTGACCCTTTTAATGCTTACCCCAGGATATACATGTAGAGGGAGAGAGAATGTAACAGAGCCTTAAACTCTGTTCAGTTCAGTAACTCTCATCAGTTATTGTGATGCTGAGAAATGTATATCTTTTTTCATAATTCTGCCAGGTCTGTTTCTGAGATTTCCTTCATCATGAGTGTTTTCCTTTGTGTTTAACTTTGTACATACTTATTTAGAAACATAAGTACCTGTGAAAGAATAGATAGTGTGGGTGCTTAGAATGGAACTCCTTTTTTTTTTTTTTTGAGAGTTCTGGTAATGAAGGTATAGGAAAATAAAACATAAATTTATATACATACATATATATAAATGTATTTGAACCTGAAGAGGCTGAAAAATGTGTATTTAAAAATGGAGTACATATATTCTTATGTCTTGCATTTAGAAGCATTAAGTGTGTGTTAAATCTAGAATTGTGGTATTTTTATATCAGTGCTTGTTTTAAGTGAAACTGAGATTTCCTTCTGAATTAGTTGAATGGTATTTGATTGGAATGTCATAGAAATGAGTCATAAATCTTTTTATTTTCCCCCCCCCTAAAGGTGATGGACTGCTCTGTACTGCTGGACAGCTGCAGTGATGTATAGTAGTCTGTTGCTGTAAACATCCCCGACTGGAAGCTGTAGCAGCTCGAGCTTTCAGTCAGATGTTTGCTGCACCTGGCTATACCTGGACAGCACCAGGAGGAAAAGACGTCATAAAGCTGCGTGTGTAGATACATATCTAGTAGTTTCTATAGACACACTGAACTGCCTCCAAGTGAGTTAAGTTGATTTTTATTAATATTGCTAGTATGATTGATGACAAGCTAATCTGTAACAGGATGGAGATACAAAGGTATTGCATATATGTCACTCAGAACTGAATTCTCTGCTGCTTCATAGTATGAGCTACAGAACTATGGAATGTAACAGTAAGTGGTGTTTAATTTCTTGTACAAATGTACATAAACAAAATTCACCTTATGAACTATCTTTTTTTAATGGCATCTGTTACTAAACTGTGGAAAAATGATTAAATATTGTTGAATACTTAGCAAATATTTTATTTGCTGTGCTTTGCTTTTTCTTTCTGAAATATTCCATGTTCTGCCTCTCCTATGAGTGGGTGGTGCTCTGATTGTTTGTAAGCTGGATATTAGCCAAGGCCAAAATAAAGGTTAAAAAAGATTGCACAGGATGTATTTTTGTAGTAAAACAATGCCAAATGTGTACAGTTGTTTGTGGTACAGTCAGCTTGCTTTGTACTACCATTAACAGAGATTATTTTTCACATAAAAAACAACTTTTGAAAGTACTTTTTCAGCATTCTCTTTGCTAATTCTTGACTTAAAATAATCAGTTCATTGAGAACAGCTCTCAGCAAAACAACTTCAGTACTTTCCACTTCTCTCAGTGAGGGATCTAGGAAGTGTGTTCTGCAGATGTAATTTCCTGGACCTTGTCTGGGACTTTTCTCCTGTTTCTGTATAGTTCTTCATTTGTAAAGGATAGGAGCAGAATAGCCTAAATGAGTGAATTCTGCTGTTGTTTGAGTAGTAAGTGTTCTTGCATTACCTTAGCTTTCCAGTCTTCCACCTCTGAAAATGTTAGCTTCATATTCCTTGACATTCAGAAAGCAAATTTTATGTTCAGTTTATTTGGTAGTATGGTAATATAGATTAAAAGGGTTAGCTAGATCTAACTTTGCTGCAGGAATTCTGTAGAAGATTATATGCAAAGATGCAGATACTTAGAAAAATTTCTCATTTCTTAAAACTGTGAGGATTCCTTAGGCCTGGTAAAGAAGACTGCAAGTATTGCAGAGGCAGTGATTCTCAAACATGTCATTAATGGCCACCAGTGAACTGAGGGCAGCCATTCTTCTGGGGCAGGTGTGTGACTGTAAATACAGAGCTGCTGTGTTGTGGGTCACCTGTCTGCTGGTACAGCAGTGTGTGGTGATAGAAGGTTCTGAACATACTGATAGCACTGCTGCAATTATCTATTTTCAGAATACTTCACACACAGTACAATTTCTATTAAAAAAACATTTTCTCTTAAGTGTGATGTTTGGCTTGTGTACATCTTTAAATTAGAAAGAGAAACACAAGCAGGATTTACAAATCCTATTTCCTTTTTAAAGGGGGACAGAAGTGGTAGTCACTTTTCCAGATGTTCTTTGCTGTAAAAGCTTGGCATTCCATAGTTTTACGTGCTACTTGAACTTAACAAGAAATGAAGTGTTGTCTGTTAACATTCTTTGCTGAAATGATCAAAGTAAACGTTATCTCGTAGTTAATCTTGTAGTCATTTTTGTCAGTGCTGTCTTTTCACATGCTAGCCTTTTCACATGCTAGATAAGAGTTATCATGTGCAGTTCATCAGCTCAGTCTTGTGGAATTTTATTTATGTGCTGGTGTCTAATGCCCATACTCAAACACAACCATCATACTTTTACATGAAAGCCAACTCAAATGGTTTGTAATGATGGGAAATAAATAAACCCACACTGCATTTTTACATTGTTTTTTTGTTTGGGGTTTTCTTGCTAAGAGTTTGAAAAGCCAGGATCTCTACTTTCTGTATGCGAAATACAAACTTATGAACTTCTGAACATATCTCAAACATTTCTGCTTGCAAATGAAGAAGGTGGAGTCTTTCCAGATATTATATGTTTACACAATGAATTTAAGTTGAATCACTGAATTTTAGGAATGGAAGAAGCAGATTTGACATGTCAGCCTAATCATCAGCAAAGCTGCTTACCTCACGTTGTTAATGTGATGGCTGCAATTATTGCTTATGATAGAAGGAGACATAAATCAATTCCTAATGTTTTATGATGCACTGACATCACAGTGGAGGCAGATACCTAGAGGAGGAAGTTGCTAGTCTAGAGGCTGGCAGTGGAGTTGTGAATGTGCTGCTGATTCTGGACATATGTCATGCCTAGCGCAAGTAGAAATGGACATGCAGACACTTGGAAGCAGGGTAGAATACCATGATCCCTGCTTGCTGAGTAAGTGGAGTGCTTATGAAGATGTGCGTTTAGGGTCTGAATTAGTTGTCTGTGGTTTTCCTGTTGGTGGTTTTTATGACCACTTAACAGCAACACATCAAACTCTTCAGTACCTTCAGGCTGGCCTGCATGAAGGTCTCCCCTTGTTGTGAACTTGCAGCTGCGTTCACTAGAAATGTTTGAGCTCATGGTTTTTTCTTCATACAAAGAACCAACTGTTAAGTGCTCAGAAGGCTTCCACCAGCCTTTGTGTATGAAGAAGAATCTGCATCTGTGGTTCCTTCTCCCCAGTAAATGTGCAAAACACCTGCACAGACGAGATGAGAGCTTTGAGAAGGCTGATGAAGTTTATAAAGTGTTTTTTTTTTTCCTGGATTGCTAATGTTTTAGTTATTCAAGGCTTTAGATGCTAAGTAAGCCGCATTTAAAATCTAAAATAAGTGCTGAAGTTTAATTGATAGTGTTCTGTTCTCTCACTATTAAAATGACTCATCTTTCTGAGTAACAATCTGTGTGGAGAAAACTGAGAAGATTGAAATGACAGGGAAAGAACCTTGGAAGCAGTTTTAGAATGGGAGTTAGTTTAGGAAAATGTAGTGCAACTACAAGCAAATGTAGCAATAAAAGCAGTAAAATTGAGTGTATAAAGGAAACTGCTGAAATTTTTGGTACCACAGGAGCTGAATTTTTGCACAAACCATTTGAGAAAGACATCCTTGAGGACTCTGTCCCAGCTTGTACTACCTTGTTGATGTCTCATATGTATTTTGGTATTCAGTATCAACTCTGATAATGATTTGCGTTTGAGGTTTCTAGAAGATGCCTACTCTAAGCATCAAGAGTCTTGGCAGGTAAGTGCAACAGAGATATTGAACTCCATGGGCTGTGGGAATTGTTTTATTCTGTGTTCTACCTTGTTATCTCTAGTATTAGGGACTGTACAAATATATTACTTGTTCTGATATTTACAAGGTTAACTGTTAAAAAACAGTGCTCCAACTTTATGTCAGTAAGGTTTAATAACTGCTGTAAATGCCTTCTGAGTAGCATAAGCTGTAGCACACACAGTGTATTGAAATATGTCTGTGCCGATTCATTTTTTGGATATCTTGAAAGCCAATGCTGTATTTATATTGTTAAGCTAACTTTTAGTTCCTGTAAACATCCTACACTCAGCTATAACAAGTGGTAGGGCTGGGGGGTGGATGTTTACTTCAACTGACTTGGAAAGGCAGCTTTCCTGAATGATCAAGTGACATTTTGGCAAGAACGGAATGCTATATTTCAGTAGTATTCAAATAAACTTATTGTACTCTTCTTTCTGCTGTATTTCCATAAATGTCTTAATGCATGATTATTGTAAAGCAGTCTTTAACTGCTATAATGTGTAGCATTTTGATTGCAAATAAACTGTGATCCTGTATCTTTGTCTTGAAAAGTACATTCTGGTGTCCTCAGCTCACCTAGGATACACTCTTGACAGGAAAATACCCAGAATCTATTACTGAACATTCAATTTGCAGCAGCCATTTCTTATTTATGATCAGCTTCTTTAGTGTGAGAGGAAGAATTGATATGTTGGATTATGGTAAATAGAAATAACAACATGAAATATTTAATTGGTAGAACTATTTATATTTAACTATTCTGTTAGGTTTGGTAGCTAACAAAATGAGAAATGTCTTGCTTTGATTTGGAAAACTTGGATAGAAGAACGTGAAAGGAGATGATCTTTAGCTTTCCATTTAACTCGTTTTACATTATGTCTTATGTGATAGGATCCCATTCCTATTAGTGGTGGATGTATTGTTAAATGAAATAGAGCTCCAGCATTTTCAGAACAGGAAATACTAGATTTAACTATTCAAAAAAGAGCTCAAGAATGGTTTTGTTTAGGCAGAAGAATGAAGGACATGGGATGCATTGTTGGGAAGTATAACCTGCTTTCCTGAGGATCACTTTGAAAATGTATTTTCTTTAATATTAGGCTGTGACTCCTGATGCATGATGTATTTCCTTCTTAAGGCAAACAGGTGAAAATTACCAAGATTTTTCTCTTTTAAGATGCAGAAGCATTTTTTGTTATATTTTTTCTTGTATTTATTATGTTTTGCTGTGCTGTGTACTTTTGTTTTCAAGCTGAAGAAGTCTGTTTTAATCGGAAGTCCTGGGCAGATCTAAAAAACTATATGGCACTGCAATCAATTGCATGCAAGAGTATGCATCAAAAGTTCTCTATTTACACAGAACTTCATTGTGTGAATAGTGCAGTATAATCACGCACTACTGTGTATGTGCATGCATGGTTTAAAGACTTTTTTTTTTATGAACCAGTGTCACCTGTTCAATTGGTGCAGACCTCTGAGTTTTCCAGTTGAGGTGAGCCAGGGAAGCCTTAGGGATGCGAGTTGTCCTCTTCAGAAGAGATCCTATGATGAAGGGGAAGCTTACTTGCAGAACAATCTGCATCTCATTTTATTCTCCAGTTAAATGCCCCATGGCATCACTAACTTCATGGCTAATGCAGATGCTTCTTTCCATCTGGCTGGCATGACATGCAGCCATGCTGATATAGCCATGGCATAGTGCTGTAGGGTTCGACAGGAAGAAGGAATCCTCAAATCAACATTACCACCAGTCATAAGGTGCAAAGACTCCTTTCAGCAAGCACCAATTGTCTGGCAATAAGAGCTATTGTGGAGGTAGCGAGTAAGCAGACTGGGTGTGGGTGTGTATGTGGGGTTTCAGTGGGTTTAAATGCACTTGAGATGTAAAATTCATGTTACAAATAGGTACAAAACAGTAGTCTTAGTGGTTTTATTAGAGGAAAATCTTTACTTTTTGGCGTATTACAGGTGAAATTGGTGAACGACCTGTTGAAAGTTTAAGATTTAATATATGCTTTTTGGGAGTATTTTGGATTTGCAGCAGTCTGAATTCTGTAGTGGTCTGGGAAACAGCTGAAGCGTAGCTGTTCCTTGGATAAATGCAAGAAGTCAGACTTCTAACCTAGATTACTTCTAAAGAGTCTAAGCATAACACCACCAAACTTAAAACTTCTGAAGCATGTTCATTTTTCATCCATTGCATCGGTGATTTTTGGACAGATAAGTCTCAGTCCCATGGCCCCAGTGATGGCATAAAGCAGGGTTGAGTAAATAGCTGTGTATGATTTATACCATGGTCCGGAAGTTCTCCTTAGAAATGGTGGCAAAGGTAAGTTGTGTAGCATCAGTCACCAAATTTATCTCAAAGAACACAGGCACTGTTAATATATTTTTTGTTACTTTTGAAAACATGCATTTACTCTTGTATTTAATTCTTCCTGTTTTTGTTTTCCTGATGGTAAAAATCCAAACTTACTTCAATAAAAGTACGTTGATATCGATTTTTCTTGTCTGTTTTGTTCACTAAGTTTTTGCTTCTAGTAATTGTGTACTCCTAACCAGTAATGCCAATTCTGGCCAGCTTCGTTCATGTTTTAAAGCTTTTATGTGTGTGTGTGAAGTTAATAAAAACTACTTAATATTCCATGTGATCCTACAGTAGTTGAGTGTTAGCAGTGGGAGTCTTAACTCATGTGGGAGACTGTTCAGACCGTCTGGGAATGCGTGCTGTCAGCTCAGTCTGTCACCCATAACGTGTGTGTTTAAAGGAGGAGAGCCTGACCCAAGAAAGCAATGCATGGGCTCTGCATGCACCATGAAGGAAATGCAGTTTGTGTCAGTTGGGATCGTTTGTTATCTGATAGCATCTCTTTCTTGAGAGAAATAATTTCCTGTAAACAATATGGCTTTATCTAAGGCATCTGCCAGTTTAATAATGTGAAAAATTATTTTTCCAAACATTGCACAAGCCTTATCTCCCTGACAAAGAAAGGGAGGTGGCAAGGATGAAAGATGCTTTGTGAACTGAACTCTGTTTACTTAAGGTTATGGAAAACTTGCTGAAAGTGTGTACTTTGAATGCATGACTTAGTGCAGTTTTTAAACCCACTTTCCCCAGTATTAATGAACTAGTAGAACTGACTTGTACCAAGTAGTAGAAAATATATTGTTTTGGAGATGTTTCACACTTAAAATCTAAGGAATGTGTAAGCTGGTAGATCTCTCTTAACCTGGATTCCAATTCAGAATTAACAGTCAGTGAAGATGGTATAGCTGAATGCGATTTTATGAAATACATTGGACATTTTTGCAGACTGTGTGAGGTCTTTTTGTATACTACTAAACTATACTTGAGCTGTTGTAGGTTGTTTGCTTATTCCTACTTAGATTTGCTAAAGCCAATTCAAGAAAACAAAAATAATACAGATCTTCTTTAAATGTGCAGCAACATTATCCAGAAATTGACTTCCAGGTAGGAAGCCTGGGGAAGGAGCAGCTCTAAAATTTAGAGTTGAACTTTCCAAGAATATTGCATGCAGAATAGCAGTTTGAATCGAAGGGATGCCTGCACAGCTGGATTTCAGATTTTTCAGTCAGCTGCTCAACGCTTAGTAGCAGTCCTTAAATTATGGCTGTGGAGTAAAAACAGAAGCACTATTTTAGATACTAAGTTCCATGCAGGACTGCTTGTCATTGCACCTTTGTAAATAAACCATATAATTTAGAGGTTGTGATGGCTAATGTCATCTCTAATGCAAATTAACAAGATTTTAAAACTAGTTTGGGGGATGTTAGTAAATATTCTCCTTTTTTTAAGAGTCAAATAGGTTGTTTATATCACACATCAGGAAGCGTTCAGAAGATGCTTAACTTTGGCTGACGTAACTGTTCCACATTTTCTGGACAAACTCCTGTTTTCCATAAGGGAATTATGCATTAAATTGAGTTTATGCTTAACTACCCAATGTATGCAAAGCTGCTGAAGCCACCCCAGGAGAATACTGGAGGTTAAACAGAGGTATGTGGGACAGCTTTCTTTGCCAGTTTCCACAGTGCATAAACACTGTTTATGGACAGTAAGCACAGGAAGGGGTTATTCTGTGAACAGTATTTGAACATGAAGAGCACATAGGTCCAGTAGCACTTGTGAGGTTCTGTATCATTATTTGATTCTTCTATAAGGGACAGCTTTTTACTGATGATTTCGTTTTTTTGGTGCATCAGTCTGGGTTACACTGCAGAGCTGCTGTGGCCCAGCGAGGTTTGCTGTAAGAACGCCTTCATCTCTGAGGGGCTGCGTAACTTCAGACAGCCTTGACTTAGATATGATATCCGTATTCTGGAGATGTTGGGTTATGAGTGTCAAAATTACAGAAGTGAATGGGGGTGAGTATATTCAAATGGTTTTCTGATTTTCGGGGATCATAAAGTAATTGGGTGCTTAAGTAGCTTTGAAAATAGCATTTCCAAAGTCAGCGTGAAAATGCAATTTTTATGCTACTGGAACCTTCATCATTGGCTGGTGGTGTTCTGACTTTTCTCAGAGATAGAAGAAAATATTAAGCAAAAAGAAGTATTCTAAGTACTGCTCTATCATTCCTGCTTTTAAACACATAGGTGTACACTGTGCCACCATGTAGACTGGAAGTGAAGTAGGCTCTGTCTGCATGTTTCTTTTAAACTAAGTTATGGGGGGAAAAAAAAAAAAAACCAAAAATGTTCCCCTCTTCCCCAAACCCCAAGTAAGTGCACCATACCCAAATTTAGACCCTATAATTATTATTTAGTAAATCACAGCAACATACACAAGCAGCCCACTTGTGTAATATCATCTGTTTACTGCCACTGTTCAGAGCAAACTGCTGTTTGGAGTCGCTCTCAAACATCTGTTAGAAAAGAACTCGTTAACCTTTGGAGCCTTAATTAAAGTTTTGTGTCAAGTCTGATAAAGTTATTTTTGGGTTTGTTTTTTGTTGTTGTTTTTTCATTGGTGTTAGGTGCTGCTTTGAGACAGCTGCTGTCACACTGAGCAGTACACAATTTATCTCATTCGTATGGACACTGCCTCTTTAATGCCTTACTGTAAGCAGGGTGGGCTGAGGAGCTTTTCACGTGGTTATTTATATTCATCCTGCTCTGCAGGAATTCCAGCAGCAACGTGACATTTCCCACCAGTACATATGCTTACATCTATGGCTCTGGCTCCCTTCTGCTGGAAAACAAAGTTTTGTGAGCTATCAATGTTAATCAATTTATTGCTATTATTTCAATGTCTTATATTTATCGTATGTATTTTTACATGGATGCTATATTAAATATATTATTACTTTTAAAAAGTTAACCTCAAAGTTAAGGTATTATACGTGTCATAAAGAATGTGTATATGTAGCAGCTGTACAAATCAAGCTCCAGTTTGGGTAATTCATAGAATCATAGAATGGGTTGAAAAGGACCACAATGATCACCCAGTTTCAACCTCCCTGCTATGTGCAGGGTCACCAACCAGCAGGCCAGGCTGCCCAGAGCCACATCCAGCCTGGCCTTGAATGCCTCCAAGGATGGGGCATCCAAAATCTCCTTGGGCAACCTGTTCCAGTGCATCAAATTGCAGGATTCTGCTGACAAGAAGTGTTGTACTCCTTCAGCTGAAGGAGCAGTAGCTCATGGAGGGTCTGAAATGTCTGTTCCTAGGCGGCAGTGGCATACAGAGGTTTGCATGGTGCCAATTTCTGACCTTTAACTGGTGGCTTTGGTACTGAGCCTGTTACAGACATGTCCTGTCTGCATAGAAACCACAAAGTGTGTGAAGGTTCTGCTGGGTCCTCAGAAGGATTTCCTGCAGTGCATCAAGATGGAAAGGAACTTCTTCACAGTGAGGATGACAGAGCTCTGGTACAGGCTGCCCAGGGAGGCTGTGGATTCTCCTTCTCTGGAGACATTCAAGACCCACCTGTGCAGCCTGCTGTAGGGGGCCTGCTTTGCAGGGAGGTTGAACTAGTTGATCTCTGGAGGTCCATTCCAGCCCCTGCAATTCCGTGATTCTGTGCTTTGAAAATGATGGAGTACTGAACTTCCCTGATTATTTTGTTTGTTTGAGCTGCTATAGAAAAGCAGGTAAGTGAGGTCACGCTATAATTGCAGACCCACGGAATATCTCAAGTTGGAAGGGACCCATTAATCACTGAGTCCAACCAAACTAATGTCTTCCAACACCTTGCATCAGCGATAACTCACATCTATTCTTTAGATTTGTTGATTGTTTTCACTGCAGAATAACAGTACAGGTTGATGAATTACTCTTTATTCAGCAGTTGTTGTGTCTGAAGACCACATTCTGATCTGGATGACCTCACTGATTCCTAAAATATCTCCCTTTATTTCTCATTAATGTCTGTGAGACCAGGAGCAGGCTTATATCAGAATGTAATTGGAGGAACTGAATATATGCAGATGTAGCATCATATAAAGCACATGCAGTGTGCACATAACTACTTAAGCAGGTTTAACTATAAAGATTTGCAAAATTCACAGCTAAAATATGTCAGGGATGACTAATTTATTAACATAGCTTCCCAGTATGAACATGAAAACTGAACTCTTATTTTTATTGGATGTTTCAGTAACTGTGATACAAAAATAAAACCCCCAAACCCTTGATGTGATGTACTAATGAAAGTAGACTGAGCAGATGGTTTATACGGACTGTACTCCACGTATTATGCAACTGTGCTGTTCTTTCAGGAAAAGATAAATGGGGCAGAAAGATATATAGCTACCTTTAAAGCCTAACTTTCATTTACTGACAAAACAGAGAATGTCCAGGAGAACACTCCTTAAAAAGGAGAAATACTCAGGTGTGTGAGTGACAAAACATACTTTTTTTTCTTCTTACTATCTAACCTGAGTAATTATCTCTTGGCAGCATTTGCATTAAAAGCTTCTTCAGTGCGTTGAATTTGTATGAGAAAAAAAAGATCATAGAATCATACAATGGTTTGGGTTGGAAGGGACCTCAAAGACCATCAAGTTTCAACCCCCTCTGCTGCAGGCAGGATTGCCAACCACTAGACCAGGCTGCCCATGGCCCCATCCCACCTGCCCTTGAACACCTCCAGGGATGGGACATCTACAACCTCTCTGGGCAGCATGTGCCAGCACCTCACCACTCTCAGTGAAAAACTTCCCCTGACATCTAATCTAAATCTTCCCTCCTTTGGTTTTACCATTCCCCCTTGTCATATCACTGTATACCCTTGTAAAAAATTGATTTCCCTCCTGTTTATAATCTCTCTTTAAATATTGGAAGGCTGCAATAAGGTGTCCCTGGAACTTCCTCTTCTCCAGAATGAACAAATCCAGTTCCTTCAGCCTGTCTTCATAGGAGGGATTCTCCATCCCTCTGATCATCTTTGCAGCCCTCCTCTGACCCCTCATTGTAATGGATGCATAAGGTTTCTTGTAATTCTAATACTTCTTAGTAATTTAAAAGTTCTGAACAAAG